TGTCAGAGAGTTGTTGTCAATGTACATGCACCAGACCTAAGTCTTGTTCCGGGATATTTTTCCTCTCTTTGCACATAGAGTGTTTTTGGAGTAGGAGGTACACAACGGTTTCGATACTGATCATAATTGATACTCAGGACTGGAAATATCATCGGAAAGGAAGGTCCGACGCACAGCCCATCAATAGGGGAAGTGTCAAAATCTGGAAGCCATTTGAGATACTTTCAATGACAATGATCATTCCACCAACACACGTGAGTGCCTATTGAATTGGATTGGCCCCTAGCGGATAATATGTGTTCCTGAAGCCATGTGGTATGTTCACGTCTTTTTGTTGGAATGTGAAAAGTGAAACCTACGAGCTTTGTGGCAAGATGTCTCAAAATTACTAGCAGAAAACTTATTTCTAGTATGTGTTTAGTGTTTTCAATGGTCATGTTTCTTTTCCTGGGATCACTACAAATTATTTATATATCTTACTTGTGGCTTCCTGGGGCTGGTTGTAGTGCCTAAGGATGTGGATATTGCACATCCGGATCCTCCAAGTTCTGAAGGCGGGTGTCCATGAGACACAACCTCTGCTGCTGATGGCAACCAGGGATGGTGGTCAGCATTTATCCATGGAAGTGGTAACCATCACCAGTTGTTTTCCTGGTAAATGGGGTCTACCATATCAATGTTAGTAAAGCAATACGATCCACCATCCCGAAGTTTACCATAAATGGATGGTGTATACGGGTGGTTTATAGCCGCTTTCCGTATTACCTATCATGTGGTTTCAGACCGTTCTGAATTACTAGTGGGTGGTTTCAAACACGTTTTGTTGTTGTCCGACTCTATCAAATAATATCAAATAGATGTGGCGGAATTCGATAAGATGGAAGTGGGCAAAGTGGCACATTGTTTTCTGACGCACTTGTTTGTTTAGTGTAGTTTACTGGTAGTTGTAGTTGTGGTGTGGTGTAAGTAGTGTAGTTCAGTTGTTGTTGCTGTTGTAGTTAAATTGTAGTTGTAGCTGTAGCTGTTGTCGTTGTGATTATTGTTGTTGTTGTTGTTGTCGTTGTTGTTGTCGTTGTGGATCTGACCCGGACAGTCATAGTCTTGACATCTCAGTCGTCTCATATCGAACATGTATATGTGTAATGTATCACTTTCCACCCAGGTCCCGTAGGTAAATAAATCTCCAGCCAAAATCAGATCTTCTGGTCAAATAGCTACTTGGTGCTATCCAGTGGTTTTCCAGTATGGTTTGGCCACTGAAAGGTTTCAAAAGATATTTGCCAAGGAAGATGATGCGCTCATCACCCGGGAGGTTAGCCGCGACAAAGCAACAAAAAGTATCACACAGTGCTCATCCACTTAGAAGAAATGAACATGCTTAATTCCCAAAAAGATTCCTAGAAATTGCTGATTCATCACTGACTTTCTGGGTGGACAAAATCTGAATTCTGCATCTTTTTGGGCTTTCTTAGGAAAGTTCAAGCAGTTCAACCCATTAGGTTCTTACCGCGAGCCGGAGCTGCTGGACAGCTCCGAGCCGATGCAAGCCGCGTCGTCGCTGCAGTCGGAGTCGAGGCTTGGTTTCGTTGGGAAAATCTGAAGCGGAAAACCTGGTTTTTACCCCAAGATATTAAGCTATCCTGCAGATTTTCTAATAAGAGCAAATCTCAGATGGATGGGAGTTTGAGCATGCCACAAAAAGGGGATTTCATGGGATTTCTTGAAATTGGGTTGCCTAAACCATTGGTTTCGTATTGGGAATGACTAAGTTCATCCATTTTGGGGCTTACAAAAAAATAACCTTTCAAGATCCAGATATATTTCTTTTAAAACCAATGATTGATTGCTGCAAGTCTTGCTTTCTGCTGATTAATCCCTAATGGTCGGAAAAGATGCACATGTTTCGACATTGAATCTTTTTGAATTTACAAATTCCGATTTCAGCATCGCTGTCATTCCAACACCGAATTGCTGAATTTTTTCGTGCGGGGTCTTGCATCCACAGTATAGGATGAGCCAGAAAAAAACCTATTGACTTCGTTGGTCGAAACTGCCAATGGCTCCCATGATATGAGCAACCAGCAGGCATCAGGCCAGAACTTCCCATCATTCATCCATACCGAATCAACACGTTCTTGCCATCAACCGGGGTCCATAAATTTGGTTAACCAGCTAATTTAAAAAAAAAACATGGTCTCGAAGATCAGCCATGATAAATGTTCTAACATTATCATGGCCGTTTCCCATTTACAAGCCTTAAATTTCATGATGTCTTTTCAGAATGTGCGAAAAACCATGGTTTCAAAAATGGCATTTTCCGAAAAAATGTGGAAATCCAAACAACATGGTGAGTTTCCCATAGGATCCATGTATGCTAAATATCATATTATATGGTAACATGGATCCCATCAATATACCCCATGGTGATTCACCAGCCAGGTCTTGTCGCCGTGGACTCCGTGAAATCCCCGTGAAGGCTGGCAGATAGTGTGATTTACCCATTGAAAATGGTGGATCTTTCCATAGTTATGAATGGAAATGGGATTCTGGTTGGTGGTTTGGAGCCATGACTTTGATGACTTTCCATATATTGGGAGCAATAATCCCATTTGACTTTCATATTTTTCAGTGGGGTTCAAACCACCAACCAGAATATATGCAGATAGTGGGATTTACCCATTGAAAATGGTGGATCTTTCCATAGTTATGAATGGAAATGGGATTCTGGTTGGTGGTTTGGAACCCTGACTTTGATGACTTTCCATATATTGGGAGCAATAATCCCATTTGACTTTCATGTTTTTCAGTGGGGTTCAAACCACCAACCAGAATATATGCAGATAGTGGGATTTACCCATTGAAAATGTTGGATCTTTCCATAGTTATGAATGGAAATGGGATTCTGGTTGGTGGTTTGGAACCATGACTTTGATGACTTTCCATATATTGGGAGCAATAATCCCATTTGACTTTCATATTTTTCAGTGGGGTTCAAACCACCAACCAGAATATATGCAGATAGTGGGATTTACCCATTGAAAATGGTGGATCTTTCCATAGTTATGAATGGAAATGGGATTCTGGTTGGTGGTTTGGAACCATGACTTTGATAACTTTCCATATATTGGGAGCAATAATCCCATTTGACTTTCATATTTTTCAGTGGGGTTCAAACCACCAACCAGAATATATGCAGATAGTGGGATTTACCCATTGAAAATGGTGGATCTTTCCATAGTTATGAATGGAAATGGGATTCTGGTTGGTGGTTTGGAACCCTGACTTTTATGACTTTCCATATATTGGGAGCAATAATCCCATTTGACTTTCATATTTTTCAGTGGGGTTCAAACCACCAACCAGAATATATGCAGATAGTGGGATTTACCCATTGAAAATGGTGGATCTTTCCATAGCTATGAATGGAAATGGGATTCTGGTTGGTGGTTTGGAACCATGACTTTTATGACTTTCCATATATTGGCAGCAATAATCCCATTTGGCTTTCATATTTTTCAGTGGGGTTCAAACCACCAACCAGAATATATGCAGATAGTGGGATTACCCATTGAAAATGGTGGATCTTTCCATAGTTATGAATGGGAATGGGATTCTGGTTGGTGGTTTGGAACCATGACTTTTATGACTTTCCATATATTGGGAGCAATAATCCCATTTGGCTTTCATATTTTTCAGTGGGGTTCAAACCACCAACCAGAATATATGCAGATAGTGGGATTTACCCATTGAAAATGGTGGAAACCACCAACCAGAATATATGCAGATAGTGGGATTTACCATTGAAAATGGTGGATCTTTCCATAGTTATGAATGGAAATGGGATTCTGGTTGGTGGTTTGGAACCATGACTTTGATGACTTTCCATATATTGGGAGCAATAATCCCATTTGACTTTCATATTTTTCAGTGGGGTTCAAACCACCAACCAGAATATATGCAGATAGTGGGATTTACCCATTGAAAATGGTGGATCTTTCCATAGTTATGAATGGAAATGGGATTCTGGTTGGTGGTTTGGAACCCTGACTTTTATGACTTTCCATATATTGGGAGCAATAATCCCATTTGACTTTCATATTTTTCAGTGGGGTTCAAACCACCAACCAGAATATATGCAGATAGTGGGATTTACCCATTGAAAATGGTGGATCTTTCCATAGTTATGAATGGAAATGGGATTCTGGTTGGTGGTTTGGAACCATGACTTTTATGACTTTCCATATATTGGGAGCAATAATCCCATTTGACTTTCATATTTTTCAGTGGGGTTCAAACCACCAACCAGAATATATGCAGATAGTGGGATTTACCCATTGAAAATGGTGGATCTTTCCATAGTTATGAATGGAAATGGGATTCTGGTTGGTGGTTTGGAACCCTGACTTTTATGACTTTCCATATATTGGGAGCAATAATCCCATTTGACTTTCATATTTTTCAGTGGGGTTCAAACCACCAACCAGAATATATGCAGATAGTGGGATTTACCCATTGAAAATGGTGGATCTTTCCATAGTTATGAATGGAAATGGGATTCTGGTTGGTGGTTTGGAACCATGACTTTGATGACTTTCCATATATTGGGAGCAATAATCCCATTTGACTTTCATATTTTTCAGTGGGGTTCAAACCACCAACCAGAATATATGCAGATAGTGGGATTTACCCATTGAAAATGGTGGATCTTTCCATAGTTATGAATGGAAATGGGATTCTGGTTGGTGGTTTGGAACCATGACTTTGATGACTTTCCATATATTGGGAGCAATAATCCCATTTGGCTTTCATATTTTTCAGTGGGGTTCAAACCACCAACCAGAATATATG